CTCTCTCTCTCTCTCTCTCTCTCTCTCTCTCTCTCTCTCTCTCTCTCTCTCTCTTTTTCTCTCTCTTGGAGAGGAGTCTCTTGTACTCGTGTTACCGCATCGATGCGGTTCAACTGATTGGTTCGATTTCAGAATGCAACGATGGTTATCCGCGCGTTTCTCCTTCTTTTTTCCTTCTCCTTTCTTTTCTTACGGGTCGCCTTCGCCGCGTATATACGCTGCGCTTCTTCAACATTTCGTTTTCTTATTTTTTTTGCGTTCTCTTCGATACCTTCCTACCATCCACGTCCCCGCTAGAGAGATCGTGGTTACGCGACAAGTCGTCTCCTCGTAGAGTTCGATCTTGTCTTACGCGGTAATATGATTAAGCCGCGGCGCAAATAAGCCGTCACGGGTGGACACGCGTGTCGCACAATATTTCGATGCAAATTGTGCCTCGATAAGCGCTCGCCACGATGAAAGAAGAAAAAAGAATGCCAACACCTGCGTCTAATAAATGACTAAGCCTAAGGTAAGTGGTAATTCCTGGTTTTATAGCCGCGGATCTCCGAGATCTGTCCGTGCTTGCTCGCGGGGTCAAGCGGGTGGTGTAATCATTCCTGTGTAAATGCGTTATCGTGGAGAACATAATTCAGATAATATACGCGCCGGTGCGCGTGGAGAATTAATACGAAATATGATAAGCTATTTGTGTTACTGTATAGTTAATCAGTCGCATTTTTCCCCGGGCTGTGACGACGCGTGGCGTAAATGTCGAGACGCGTGACGTAAATGTCGAGACGCGTTTTATTGTCATGCGAAAATGTCGCGCTCGAGCTTTGCAATCTATCGATTCATCCATCTCCGCGAGTCAGAGACTAGCTTCGCGCGGGGTGAAGATCTCCTCGAAGATTCTCTCGTGGAGATCTCTTCGCGGAAAAGACAATGCCACGTGTTTGAGAAAATGATAGTAGTAATTAAGTAATCTTCCGTAATTACAGTCTCTCGGGAGCTGAAAGATGATACTTCCACCTCTCTCTTTCCCTTTCTCCTTCTCTCTCTCTCTTTCTCTCTCTTTCTTTTTCTCTTTACTTTTTAATAACGTTTTATCGTAGCGAACATAAGCCTTGGGAGCATTGACGTATCCTGGAGGAAAGGTCAGGATCACTATTCGACCCTCAGTCTGGCGTGCTCGCCGCGGGGAAGCGCGGCTCTTCGTACTCGGACAGGTGGTGACAGGTGCGAGAGCCGGCTATATCGTCTTCGCTCACTCCCGTGACAGCATCCAAGGGAGACTTAAAATTACGTCACTTTCCATTTTACGCCATTTCTACTGGTCTGCCTTGATGAGCTGTGAAACGAGTCGTGTTATCCTCCTCTTCCGTTGGATCGAAGCGAGCATTAATCGCATTGATCGAATGAATCCGCGACTGGGAATTTATATTTCGTTGCGCCAGCCTCCGACGAGCCGTTGAATATTTTCATCTTAACTGAACACACTCGGCGAAATAAAAATTTGCAGCGGGACGCTCGCACTTTCCGCTGCTCTTCTATCATGATATCAGATTGGCAACAAGTTAGTCGAATAAAATAGAGAATAAATTTATCCAATTTTAAAGGAGTAATGATTTTTGCAAGCAAAGCGCCAACATAAACATTTCAGCATATTTCAGTCAAGTATCATGTAAATTTACCATTAGATTAAAGAGAGATTTAAATTTTTTTACGAGAAAATTCGTGAAATCGACAATACACGAGTAAATACACGGCAACATCACATAAGTGATAAGTTAATGCCAAATCTGAGAAATAATTTTATAATGCGCCATTTCTATATTTATTTTTCTATTTATTATTCATTTTAACATAATGTTTATGCATTCCCAAAATTCAAATGCTCATATTTTTTTCTTACAACTGACATCAAATGTGAGTGTCTCACAACTTTTACTTTATTTCAAACTTTTACTTTGTTTCAAAATATTTGATAACTTTCAATATAAAAAACGATTATGACACTTGCAAATTTCATCTCACGAATATTATTGCAAAATTATTTGTTTAATCATTTCAAATATTTTTACTAATAAAATGCTGATTGAATTTAGAGTAGGTGGAACCTTCTTAATATGTATGATGTCGTCAGCATTTTATATGTGTGACGCAACGATCTCTCACAGAAGTCAGTGTCACATATGTGTGTGAGCAACACTATGTCCACATTATCAGATTAAGTCCGTTTTATAAAAAATTATTTAAGGAAAAAAGAAATATGAGGTGATCTATGAAGAGAGTCCTCGAAATAGAATGTGTCAGCGAACGTATTACTATTCCTACGAGGCTTTAATAGAAAAATTACAAACCTTTTGCAGCAATCTAATATTATAGCAGCTGACGTAATGATCAATAAGAGAGGAAGAATGAGCGCGAGAGAGGCGACGCAGATGGAAGACGCTGCTTGTTAACGAAATCTAATGAGGTGGCTACGTGACTTGACATTACCGGCTAACGCGTTATAATGTACTCCTAACTAGCCGGGTCGCGTAAATATAACACGGTCGACCTTGCTATTCGCGCATAGCACTTTGCGCGAGACTGGACCGTGTCCCTTGATCATATTTGCGAGAGTGATGTTCCCGTAATGAAGAATTTAACTTCA